ACTAATTGGCAGTTTAAACTTTGAACGGATATCTTCAATAATAATCATTTTTAGCATATTTTGTAGAATCAATAATAAGCATAATCTCTAAAACTGGATGCATTAAAATTGCTGATTTAAGGTGTGTCTGAGTCACATTATTTTGGAAGAATGTATTTTGAAATAATAAATTGATGGAGAATGTGTGGTTGAAAAAGAAGGAAAAATCATTAATGTGATGAAAAATATTATTTTATTGAAAAATGTGTAGTTGAAAATAAGTAAGAAAATGAGAATGAAAATTTTAATGTGGCTCAATCAGGGTCTTACATTAATATTCTAGATGCATTTATAGTAAATAATAATTGTAGATTTACATTAATATTCATGATTATTTTCTTATACTTAGAATTTTTTATTTTTTAAAAAAAAGAATGGAGATTTGGGACTCATTGTTTGAAAGCTTGGTTTGAATTGAATAAAGTTTCTATAGCGAGTTTCTCAATAGTGTTGATTTTTCAGGATTTGATTTAGAATCACATGAATCTTTGAACTTGTTCTTTGTTCACCCTAGTTCCGTTCCCATCAGTATGGTATCAGAGGGGCCACATTTTTTATAGAGAAGATTTGGCGTTTCTGAAGTTCCTAGTGACGAAGATTGTGTTAGAAGAGAATGCTCAACTTGAGCAAAGAGTGTTCTCGTTGACACAAATATTAGCAAAGAAACAATTGCATCAAGACGTAGGTTTGACATACGGACAACTTTTCGTCATAATGACTTGAAAGTCATATAGGCTCTACCTTCAAGGTATTCTAAAGTTCCTCCACTAAACTATAGTACAAAATCATCCCCAAAGATCTTGGTAAAAGCATAAATATGCCAAATGAGTCCCTTTTTAAATCTTCAGAATTCTACAATATCGATGAAGTTGAAGAAATCTTAAGTTTGTGCAAGGATTGTTACGACGGTGCCTCTATTTATGATGAGGAAGTTGTTCTTGAAGTTTCAGATGTTCCAGAGGGTTCTCTAGTTCTTAGCCATATTAGTATAGAGATGGCCAAGGCACATCTTGAAGTCCGTTTTAATCCCCCCCTAAAAGATGACAAGTTGCTAACCAAATAAGTATGAAGAAAATGCATTTGTAAAACAACCTGGCCTTGGATGGTGAATGGGATGGACCTACAATTTGTGAATGTTTACTTGTAGGAAAATCTCACTTGAACATTCTTTTTTGACATTACAATTGACATTGGTAAGTATTGATTGGATAAAAAAATTATCAAAAATTTAAATTGTCCAATGGTGTGTTGTCACGTGGCCAAATTTTAAAATATAATGTGAATGATGATATACATGTTGTATGATTGTTACTTACGATGCTAAATAATTTTCCAATGAATTAGGAGCTAGAGAAGTGCACCGCCTGGAGATTATTGATAGGGCAGATAGAATAATTATTAATTGAGTAATGTAATTTATAGTGAAGAATATATTTAGTCACCTTACGTAGCATACATGTAAAAGTTTGACATTCGATGCATAAAGAAACAAAACTTATCACATTAATGTATCAATAACAAACTATCATCTGCATGTCACGTAAAACGACTACCGTTAGTATTCACTATAAATAACCTTTTTCTTATTAACTTTATCAATTAAATCTATGACATTATAATTTCAGTAACTTGTAATGAAACACAAACAAGGTTGGTTCTATGAAATTAGAATGCAAAAGGACATAATTAGGAGAAAATTGAAATGGATCGATAGTTGTCAATTGGGATCGGTACAATATTGACTTACTAATTAAAGTTGTCGTTATAGGATGAGCATAAATTGTTCATCAACCTGTGGTGAATGACGCAGATGGACAAATTCGACTTTTAAGTTTTAATTTCTTATAACATGGGGTCCTTTATGTTGAATAGTTCAGGGGTTATTTTGTAATTTCAATAAACTTCGAGTTTTTGGAACTCATTATTTGAGAGCTTTGTTTCAATTCAATAAGCCCTATTTGGTATGGATTAAAATTCAGATTTTAATCTTAATTAAAGTCAATAATTAATTTTAACCATATATTTTAAAAGATTTACAATTTTTCAAATCAACCACACATTTCATCAACTTTTTCAAAATTTGATTTTAACTCTCACCAAACGAGTGCTAAAATTTCAATTGAGAGTTTCTCAATATTGCGTTAGCTTTTTGGTATCCGTTCTTGAATAATTTGATATTTAAAAAATTACGAAAATCTCAACTTTTTAATCGTTCACATTAATTTCATTGCATCAATTATCATAATGATTATAATCACTTTTTGAATTCTCAAAGAAGGAAAAAATCAAGATATATGAGTAAGAGAATGAAGGCGAGAACACCTCACTTGTAAGTTGTAAGGCTATAATATAATAACCCGCGATTTACCTTCTTCACCAAGATTCAGGACAGAGCAGAAGGGGATCGTCAAGGATGCGACTCATCCTCTATAATATAATAAACTATACATAAGTTGAAAAAAAAAAAAAACAGTATTATTAATAAAAGAAAACAATTCTTTAGAAATAATTCTTTCATGTTTAGTCAAATAAAAAATCAAGCGTAGAATAACTTCTTAGCCACCAAAATTGATTGCATCTGAATTTTTGACTTTTGGGACACGACGGAAATATTTAGTCAAAAAAGTCGTACAATGACGTTCATTAAAATATATTTGGGTAAACCCCCACGTACAGGTGGGCGTTCACAGGGGCCTGCCAGGCCTCTCACAACCTGGCGGGCCCCACATGTTTTAAAAAAGAAAAAAATACCCACCCCCTCCTCCCTTGTGTGTCTTGCCTGTGAACCAACCACCCCCCCTTTTCCC